TCAGGATGGAGATAGTTCAGACTCAGACGATTATGATCCTACCAAAATAGTTCAAAATCATGAAGATCAGTATTCTGCGCAGTTAACAGATTCAAAACAGAGTGCAGTTTCAAATACTTCTTCAGCTTCCTCACAGCGGAGGTCTATGTCCCAAGATTTCTCTGAAGCCGTGCAAAATAGTCATACTTTTCCTCCTCAAATTCCTTCTGGAGCTCGCCCCGGAGGCCCTTCCTCTCTTCCCCATTCCAACCCCTCCATTCCTGTACAAATGCCGTCTCAGGCCCTGGGCCCTTTTGCTGTTGTCGAGGAGGATAGTGACCAAGATAGAGGCGATGCTGAATATGAGCCTCCTGCAGCGTTAAGTCATGTTCACAGTGATGGAGATGGTGGTGGCAGGGATGGGGATGGGGATGATGATAATATGGCTTCTTCTGGCAGTCGCCAGTATTCCCTTTCTCAAAGTGCAAATGGAAATGTTTCTCAGTATCATGTATCACATCACATGCAGACTGTTCAAGACAAAAACTCTCCTCAAGATGTTCCTCCTCCTAATAGTTCATCTCTTACTCCTTCCTATGCTGGTATTTCGGCACCAAGTGATGGTGCCTCCAACTATTTGCAGGACGATTTAAAACCACCGACCATGACAGCTGGCGATGCTACCCCTCAATCTGCGAACAGGTCTATGTCCTCTACTCCTACGGCCGCTGCATTGTCGCGAGGCCGCCTTCCGCATGATCGAGTGGGTATATTAGAGGATAGGATTCAGGCTGATCCACGGGGCGATACGGATGCCTGGTTGGAGTTGATCAACGAACACCGTTCTCGAAATAAGCTTGAGAGTGCACGAGAGGTCTACGACAGATTTTTCAAGGTTTTCCCGTCAGCTGTAAGTCGTCAGCTCCTACAAGGTAGAGAAACCTTAGCTTTTGAGGATAACTAACATTGTTGCCCAATAGGCTGAGCAATGGGTTGCATACGCGAACATGGAATCGGAAAATAACGAGCTCTATCGATTAGAGCAGATTTTTAATAGGAGTCTCTTGTCCATACCTAATGTTCAGTTATGGTCTGTATATCTCGATTATGTTCGTCGCCGTAATAATTTAACCACAGACACAACCGGTCAAGCTCGAGGTATCATTTCATCCGCCTACGATTTTGCTTTGCAGAATATTGGAGTGGATAAAGACTCTGCAAACATCTGGGTTGATTACATCCAGTTCATTCGCTCCGGACCTGGAAACATTGGTGGTTCTGGCTGGCAAGATCAACAGAAGATGGATCTTTTGCGAAAAGCGTACCAGAGAGCTATATGCGTCCCTACGCAGGCGGTCAATTCCCTTTGGAAGGAGTACGATCAGTTCGAAATGGGCCTGAATAAGTTGACTGTACGGTCATATTAACCCTTCCTCAGTTTCAATAAACTTTTCAATAAAGTGGCAAGACTAATATTCAATTCTATCCGAATCAACTAGGGTCGGAAATTCCTCCAGGAAAGATCTCCAGCGTATATGACAGCGCGGAGCTCCTTTACCGAGTTGCAGAACATTACCAGAGACCTTGTTCGTGCCTCGTTACCTAGATTACCCCCAGCGCCTGGATGTGAGGGTGAAGAAATGTACAACAAGCAAGTGGAGATATGGAGACGCTGGATTAAGTGGGAAAAAGACGATCCTCTAGTACTGAAAGATGAGGATGCTGGTGCTGGCTACAAGGCCCGAGTGCTTTATGTTTACCGACAGTCGTTGATGGCCTTGAGGTTCTTGCCAGAGATATGGTTTGATGCTGCGGAGTTCTGTTTCCAAAATGGAATGGAGTCTGAAGGCAACGACTTCTTAAAGCAAGGAATAGATGCAAATCCAGAGAGCTGTTTGCTTGCATTTAAACTCGCTGATCGGCTTGAAGTTACCACAGAATCTGAGCAGGACTCTAAGAAGCGTGGTGCCAAAGTCAGGGAACCTTATGACAGACTGCTTGATGCTTTCTACGACTTAATTTCGAAAGCCAAGGCTCAGGAAATTAAAGATATAGATTTTATCGAAAAAAGCTTTTCTTCTGACGCAGACAAGCCTCAGCGGCAAGTCATGGTCATCAACAATGAGGAAGACGATGAGGGAGATGACGTTGCAAAGGCAAGGGAAGCGGCGAAAAATAGTCAGATCGAGGCTTTGAAAAAGAGACATGCTGAAGAAATTGGCCAGCTGTCGAAGGTCATATCCTTTGCTTGGATTGCCCTCATGAGATCTATGCGTCGCATTCAGGGGAAAGGCAAACCAGGAGAAATGGCAGGGTCGAGGCAAATTTTTGCTGATGCGCGCAAACGCGGGCGCATAACTAGCGATGTCTACATCGCGAGTGCGTTACTGGAACATTATTGCTATAAAGACCCTGCCGCGACGAAGATATTCGAGCGCGGCGCAAAACTATTCCCCGAGGATGAAAACTTCACACTGGAATATCTTAAACATCTCATTGACATCAACGACATTATGAGTATGTAACATTTTCTGTTTTTCAGTTTTTTCATCTACTCAGCGTGCTTTTATTTCCCCTTAACTTACATTTGGTAATTCCAGATGCGAGAGCCGTGTTCGAGACTTCAGTCAGGAGACTTGTAGCA